GAATATAAAACTCAGTGATTCCTTTTTAAAGTTCATAATACAATTTTATTAATGCATTTTCAAATAAATGCATAATCGCTTATTAGACACATTTTTACTTAGAAATCAGACATACAAAATCAAATTCCAAGCATCCCAATGTCACTAAGCTTATTTCATATTTTTAACGAAAAAAAGTAGCGCTACAATTTCCGTCCGTGGAAAAATTTGCCAAATAATCTGCAGATCTTTTAATATATCTAAGGCCAGTCTTTCAAAATCTAACAAATATACTTGTAGAATGAATTTTTTTATAGAAGTAGTTCCCCAGGGATTCTATGCATCAGAATAAAAGCTAATCTCGACTTTCTTCTTCACCAATATACTTTTGTATGTAGCAAGAACAAAGACCGATGAAAAAAGTAGTTTCTATGAATAAACGCCAGTCTGTCAACTGGCTATATTTTACCCCGGCAAGTAAGTTACAAACAGCAGTATCTAAAAAATTTATTTTAAAATGGTGTGACGCAGATGTCAGTCATTTTCATCCAATTTATAGAGATACTTTGACGTCATCGAGTTTCTATTTTTTGGGAGTTATCCTTTAAAATGAACGGTAAATTTATAAATAAATATCCCAGTTAACACATTATAACAATCGATGTTTCTGTTTTATTCTTAGACATGTTGTTGGTAATGATGTGGACACACAACTGCTTATCACTTTTTGTCTACACTTTGGTAATCTGTTTGACTCAATTGTATGTCGAGAACAAAGTGAACAATATTTAGGAAATTTATGGAATACACGATTTCTTGGAAATGATGATTTGCGTAGCTAACACCTCTCAAACTGTTAACCGAGAGGATTTCGTGATATTTTCGGTTAGGAGCATAAAACAAGATATGTGAATTTAGTTGTTTTTGAATCATTTTGCAGTTTTCTTTTTTCAATAAATTTTAAAAGAAATCAAATTCAGGTAAGTTACAATTGCATATTTTAATTTCCAGCTGTCTAATCTTAGTTCACTTTCCCATGATTTCTATTACTTTCTATCATAATAACTTCAGACTATTCCATAATTTCATTCATTTGCTTCTCCTCATTTAAGATTTGCTTTCTGCACATTGATTGTGACATTGTATTCATTAAAAATGAAAGGAAAAACGAGATATATTCTTTTGTCTCTTTGCTAATTTATTCTAATTTATTTCCCTGAAAATGTCTTTGCTGAATGCTTATCTGTTTAGAGTAAAACCAGTCTGTATATAACTGCTGTTTTTAAGTTATATTATACATTGATATTAGAAAATGCCTTTATTTTCCTTCGAATCATCGAAAACATTTCGTTATCCGTTCAGTTACTTGCAGCTATAACCGATTTTTTTTTAAATCTTTCTGTCTTCTCGTCTAATAGTTAAAATTTTCGAAATATAAATTTTTGGACAAAGTCGTTTATATGACTGCTTGATTTAGTTACATCTTTTTTAAATTTCAAATTTGCTTCTATATCGCTTTTTTGTGATATGTATAGAACATTGCCAGAATTCTTTACATTTTTTTGTTAAATCTATCCCCGTTCAGAACTTCTCTAGTGATGAATTACTTTGGAAATGTTTCACATCAAACAAATTAAAACTTTTTCATGAAATATTATAATGTTATTGAAAATATTAAAAAGAATGAAATGAACAGAAACTCATGATTTATACGAGTATTTTTTTTTATTTCCTATAAAAAAAAAAAAAAAATCTGATCATAAAACACTGACTTGTCTACAAATATTAGCCAATCTTAATTTTCTATTCCATTCAATTTTTTAAAAGAAACGTCTCAATAAAGTCGATGATAAATGTTGGGGATGCTTGTTCTTTATGCAAGCAATGATTCGTTAGAAAATTATATCATCCTAAATTCACACCAAGCTTTGACTTTCGATATGTTGTTAGCATGCACCAAGCACTTTGCACAGTTTGTTGAAGTTATTGAGCTTATTTCTCACTAGTGATTAGAGTATTTATTGAGATTAAAAAATTCTTCATAGTGGTTGGACCAAGGAAAGATCAATTATTAGAATTCAACAAATTTAATCTATTAGTTAACTGAAGAATGTTCAAACAATGTATCTGTTCATGCCTTGCTTCTATATACCGCCATAAAATGATGACGCAATGAACACTAAAGCAGCAGCATCTCGTTCAGTATCAATTACAACTCATCAAATTATAATGTCAAGTTTTGATATAAAACTTATCATAGATAGATATACGCTGTAATTACTGTAGTCAGTGCTTTAACGCAGGTATTTTTTTGCATATTTTTCGAATAAAATACGTATCTCTCGTTGTGGGACATTCTCGTTAACCATAGTAATTAAGTCAACAACTGACCTTACTTTGCTGATTAAAAGCATTATTTTCAATGGATCTTTTTAAATGTTTGACTATGAATTTGAATTATAAATGAAGGTAGAGGACAAAATTAATGGTAAGTAGAGCTGAAGAAGATTGAAAATTCTCTGATATTTTATAAGAAAGCACTTTCCCAAAGATGTGAAAACTGGCACTGCCATCATGTTTCTATGTTCTACTCTTAGAATTAACTGCAACAATAATGTCCACATATTACATTATTTAATGGACTGTTAGCAGCTCTTGGAAAGGAAGTCTATGCACTTCAAGTTGGGTCCTTTTTAGAGAAATAAGACACACTTATCAGTCAAAGCCTTTTTTTTTTCAGTGAGCTGCTAAAACTGGTTTTCCAGCTTTGTTTCATCATCAGTGCTGATCACCTTTAAATGAAAAATGGCATCATTTGAAATGAGAAGATTCACTTCACATTCCAGTACGCCTCGATGTATCTCCCACAACAGTTTTTATTTTTTGTTCCTATAGAAACGAATAGGACAATCAGCAGGCAAATATATAAGCCAAGTCGCAGTCCTATTTCATGTCTTAACAACAAGATTTAAAACCTACGGATAGCTCATACAACGGACAATAAATATATATAATTTGTAAACTCTGTATCAAAATTCTGTATATTTCTTTTCATTGCAGTAAGTAGAGATTTTTTTTTGGTACTTGATAAAAACGGGAAATTGCTCAGAAACGAATGATAAACTAAGTAGCATCTCCCGCGGTTTTTTGCTTTGATGCTAAGCTTAATGATTTTTTTTTTCAAATTTTTGAGAGCTTAAATTTCTCTAATTTCGGAATTGTAGATACGGAACAAATAAGCTTAATTAGAATGCCTGAGAATAGAATATGGATTTCTATAGGCGCATGTTCTTTTCGTTTGTCATATTTCTCAGATCACTAACATCATTTAAATTATTTCCAGCAATATCTTATTTCCCGATAACATTTGAGTTCGATTTTATTCAACATGCTATTAAAAGTTTTTTAGACTGATTAGATGTGTAAAAAAAAAAAATCATTATAATTCATGCTGACAGTTCCGAAGTTTAAATGAGTTTGGCATCAGTGAAGGACGAGTTCAACACTGATTACTGAATTGTGATCAATGAGAGCTTCTCGTTTCTTTTTTGTTATTTACTGCATTTAGTTTAGTAAGTAGGACAATATGGCGTTGTTAATAAAATCCAGTTTTGCAGTTGCTCATTGTGTTTCATATTGACTTATCTTGAAATATTTTACCCATTTCCCAATTATATCTGTTCATTTTATTAATCACTTATTTTCATTTTTTTTCTTTGTTTTGTTCTTTGGCCAGTAAACTAAAAAGTTTTATGTTTGGTTGTTTTATTTGATTGCATCAATCTAGCGATTAATAGAATAAGTCAAACAAGAAAGAAGAGTCACTCATTGCTGCATAAGAAAGTAAAGTGAATAAAAGCGTTTACTTTGTCGCAAATGAAACTTGTAATGAAGAGTATAACTGAGCATTCATACCTCAATCCAGCAGTTCTAAATTCCTGCCGCTATTATTAGACAGAGAACTGCTCATTTCATAGAACTGTTTAAAATGACAATTTCTTGCATTGAAGGTTTCCATTTCAGTTGATTATATCATTAAAAACTGCATAAATTTTTATGGGATAGCAGTTAATAGAAATATTTGGTTAGAAAGGAATAATAGACGGGAAATGTGTTTAGCTCATAAAGTAAATTTGATTAACATACAAAAAGATCTATTAAATATAAAAATGGAATGGATTTCCTTTAACTAAATCGTTTCACTGCTACTACCTTTCACCAGCGCTGTGTAAATTCCTTTCAAATGAAATTTCGCATCTGAGTTTATGATAAAATGTTCAGTAATTTGAAGTACTCTTTACTGTTTCACAATTTTCGGCATAATCAATTAACATGACGAAAAGCATACATTCATCTTCTGATTTTTTTGTCTTAGCTGAAACAAATTCGAACTTCAAACTGTTCTTCTTTGTTTCTTTCTATATATTGCTCATTGCTGTTAAATTCTATTATTTCTACCAAGATGAATGACTTAAATATTAGTTGCAGAAATTTTTTACTATATTTTGTTTCATTGCTGAGTGTGATATAGAATTTTGACCAGCTTGACAATTATTAGCTCAACTTGTGAATTATCATACATTTTCGGTATTGATTTATAGACATTTTTTTGGTGGAAATTCCTGACTTCTGCGAATGTGCCAACTGTTGTCCTTTACTTCACAGAACTGAAATGAAATGAAATGGACTCACAATCATGACAGAATAAAACTTCTGTTTGTCCACTCAGTTCAATTATTTAATCCTATAATTGCAGAAATTTGTCTTTAAACTTGATTACAGGATACTGTTTCTTAAATTTGTTATCTGTTTTTCTTTATTATGTATTAATGATAAATAACGTGACGAATTTCAACATTATCGGATAGGAAATATAATGAACAAGGGATGATCGAGGAAAAGTCAGTCTTTCCAAGCAATTAAGAGGAACATGTAATTGAATAATGATGTTATATGAGTGATAAGTGCATGTTTAACACGAACGTTCTGCACTTAACTTTTTTTTAAGGTGAAATAAACAAATGGATTTGGATGTGGCATCATTCGGAGAGGGCTCTGGTGTTCTCGCCACAACTGAGCCTGCAGTACAAACCAAATTGCGTCATAAATGGACATCCGCGTTTCGCGTTATGCAGTCACTGCATCGTTTGAAGAATCCACCTCTTGTTGCAAAAATTGAGGCTCGTCTTTTTACTTTAGATTGCTACATTTGAGAGAAAAGATAGTAGCAGTCATAAGTACTGGACAGAAGTCATCACACTGTAAGCTTTTTTCTCTTTCCTGTCTTCCATGACTACTCAGCAAACAACAGAGAGATAGTCATCTCGATCAGTGCACTCTCTAGCTTTTACTGTCTTCAAAATGTGCCTATAAAGAGTGAAAAAAAAAAATTTCTTTGCCACTAATAAATTCACGCTGTCCTTTTTTAATCGCTGGTTTTCTTACCTAAGACGATCAGTAGCATTAGCTGCAATATTGAATCATTTGTCAAGTGAATTGTCTGTATATCACATTCACCCATTGAAATTCATACAACTGAATGAGCGATCGTTGCTGTCAGCTTCGGAAGTAAAGATCTGTCAGAATAGTAAAGTATTTCTTTTTTTTAGAAATCAAAACTAACAACTCATTTTCAGAAACACAACAATCATTTCATTGAATCGACACCTTCCAGAGGTTTTTTTTTTAACTTACATCTAATATTATTATTGTTTAAATATCAATTTGTCAAATCTATCTCTGTGTACATCCACAACACATGCCTAGAGTAATTAATTATAAAGCAGTGTATGTCTTAAAAATTTCAAACAAGTTCGATATAAGCTCCATTCAGTTGTTCATTATAGTTGAAATAATGATAGTAATCTGGCAGAAAGGATTAGGTTATGGGTCATGAACAGGTGAGTGTGGCATGACTTTATCACTTCATGCTTTCACATTTCGATAACAGTATTCTTGACCATAACAACCAGAATCTAGAGGCTTGTCAAACATATCTGGCAATGAGCCGATAAGTGCTGATTAGAAAAGAGATGAAATAAGAATACAAGTTCGTTTGTCTCTTTTGGAGTGATTTGCAGTTATTCTAGCATATACTAGTTCGTCCAGGTGGATGCCTAACTTAGTCCTTGATGATTCTAAGCCTTATCTAGAAAGGCCAGATAACTACAATGTTGTAGGTAAGAAACTATAAATATAGGAACGTCTGAAAATATCTGATTCCCAGTTTATGGCTTTCTGTGAAAAATACATCTTTTTTCTTTTCTTTATCTTTTTTCTTATTGAATTTGGACAAAATCAATTCAAATCTAGCAGGCAATTAAGTATAGCTTATCCAAATAGAGCACCAGTCTGATATTGCTAGGTTGTAAACTGTCCTGTTAGCTTTGAAAAAAGTAGTCTTAATACATAGATTTTTGGAAAAATTATAGATTCTGCCCGATTCTTCTCTCATACCAATTAAGTACATGCGCGGTTGCTCCCAGCTTCTTGTCCCCTGTAGTGTATATCTTTGAGAAAGTTTGTAGAAATAAATTCTGGACTGCATTAATCAATAAACTACAGAAGCAAAACCTATTCTCATTATTTAACGGATTACTTGTTACATAGAAAAGATAGCAGCGATAAGGTTTGGTGCTATGCTAAATATTATTCACATAAATTTATGCTAATTATATTAGTAATTTTATTTGTAAACTATTCAAAAACATAACCGTTTTTTTTGTGTATCTTGCGACGCTTCGTAACAGTATGTTTAGTGTAGAGTTCATAAAATCTTCAATAAATTTGAAAATATCTTTGCGTTCTTTGTAAGCATAGATTATTTTGATATTTTTTATTAAAATACTTCATTTTCTCTCTTTTTTCTTCTCCCCTCATTTTTTGGCTCAAATAGCTGCAAACAGCACAAATAACGGAACTAAGAAGTAAGTCAAAAAATTCTTCAAATTACAGAAGTTTATGGCTAGCAATTTGAGCAAAAAATTTCTCGACATTTCTATTCTCCGTTGATAGTGCTTTTTGTTTTTTGATATCATTAACTGGAAGAAATTAAAAAATATTTCTTCTTCCTATATATAATATCAAAACTTTCCATTTTCTTGAAATTGATTGCACATAATTCTTTGTAATGTTAATCTAACCTGACGTATTTTTCATGTAGTTTCACTGTAGTAAAACGCTAAAAAGGATATCATGATAAAGTGCACAGTTTTCCTCAGTTGTGATATTGTAACCTTAAGTAATATAAATTTGGTTTGAGAATACATAGTCTATTTAATAATGTTAATGTTTGATCTAAGACAGCTTTGTAGGTATTTGTTTAAGTTCATTACTAAAACTATCAAAGATGTTATAGTCATATAGAAGGCTTAATATTTTTAAACTATTACTTTTGGAAAAAAGAATTCTTGATTAAAAATATGTCACGTTCTAATCGACAAATACTGAAATTGAAAAAATTAAAATGACAAGAAGTGCAAGAAGTAGTATTGTGAAAAAGTGATAAAAAAGTAAAGAGATGGCTGTTTTTGTTGAACTGAGTAAAGTATGATAATATACAGACTGAATATCGAGGGCTATGCACTGTTTATTTCTTAAGAAGAAAAACTGTTTAGAACAAATTCTTATGGTTGAAACAAGTTTTATAAAAGCCACGCTATGACAGTAGATAGGTATGAGGTAAGTCATAATTGAAATGAAAAAAATGATACGAGTCTCCTTTCAACGAAGAAAGTTAAGAGGAGTTGGAGCAACGGATCCAGAATAGAGGTCCAGTTAATACTAGTATGCCGAAACAGTGACAGTGTATAATAAAAATTTTTGAATGAGTTAGTGGTTGATTAAATGAGCAGAAAAATCTGTCTAATATTCTCATAAAAGGTTTTATAACAAATAATAATTTGCTCACTGGAACAAAACTTTTCAATAAATAGATCTTTCAGTAGCATCTTCTACCGATGATAGCATAGCAATTTTACACCGAATATAGGTGAGCGTCAAGCTACAGCACAACAACATGTTTCAAGCTGTTGTTTCTAATTGATATTAAATTTAACCAACATAATTTTTTAAAAAAAGATACAACCTTTTATCTAGATAAGATAAGAAGTGCGATTTATTGGCACATCTTAGAGCCTTGTTAAAATGACACTGTAGTTTCAGAAGATGGAAGTTTATGAAAACATTAAAAATGGTAATTCGATTTTCTTCTTTTCTGATGAACGATTATTTAATTCTTTCTTACTGATTTCATTTCAAATGTCAATCCTGTTCAACTTCTTGTCCGATACTATATATGCTGCACTACATTCAATGTTTAGTTTAAAGTTTTGGCCAATCCATGTTCTTGTGAATGAAACATTTTTTAATGGATATTTATCCTTTGTTTGCTACTATCATACGATCAACTGAATATAATGTAAAATAGTCTTATGAACGCGTTTAGAAAGATTTATATTTACCGCGAAAATAAACGGAAGATTCATGTTTACTGTGAGGAAAACAACGAAGATTTCTCAAATATACGAAATCATAATATCCTAAAAATCAATCATCAATCCTCATACAATTAGATCAATTATCATGCTGCAGATCGAAAGTAGAAACTAGATAAAGTATTAAGTCAATAAATTTTAAATTAAAAAAAGAAAAATAAAGTCGAATTAAAACAATTAGATTAGTATCATTAATGCTGTAGTTTGTGATCTAAAGTTAATTCAATAGGTGATTACTTTTCGACCCGGTTGAAAATTCGTTTACTAGGATTTCGCTTGAAAAGAGTGCAGCATGAAATGAAATTCATGTTTTGCTACTTTGAGGCAGAACTGAAAGCGCATTATCTCAGAAACATCTAAAAGCATTTTCAGTGTTTTCCGATTGCATTCAGGAAAACTTATGAATAATGACTCATGAGAGTGTGATTCCTTATCTGAAGTGATGTTTTTTGCGCTCACCAAAAACCGATTGAAAAGAGAAATATGCTTTACATTTGTCCAACTTTCAGCATTGGACAAGTGTCTTTTTTGCAAGCAAAAGTTAAAATTTAGAATTGTCAAAAACAAATATGTTACAGCATTTATTGCACAAAAACACATATTAGCTGATACCGTTGTAGATTCACTGCAAAGGGAAGAGTCACAGGTTGATTTCCTGACACAGTAGTCGAAATGCGTTCCACCAGCTTGAGAATTCCATTTCAATAATTTTTATAAACTAACTCACAATCAGAACAAAAAAAAAACATCAGATAAATAAATTTTTGGTTAAAATATATTGCCTGTAATCAAATCTTTCTTAGCAATTTTTAACTGCTAGATAGGAAGAGCAATATAATCCAAAATTGATTGATTGTACCACTCCAGCCACAAGAATTTCTCCTTGCTTGCTTAGTGTTGATATTAAAACAGAAACTAATTACATCCAATTTTTCTAATTTTTCATAAAAAAACGAAGTACAGAAAATGAATCATAAAGCTAATAAAACTAGTGGTAATTCATTACTATTGTAATTTTATGAATGGTTATCTCCATCTGCCTCTCTCTTTTTCGCCTGTTTCTTTCCCATCCTTCTCACTTACGCTACTCATTTATATCTACCATCTCTTATTAACTTCAGATAAAAAAATTATAACAAATAATAAAATTTAACCATGTAATTGTTATGTTCAAATACGTAAAAAAATTTCTTTGACAGAAACGAAAATTTTTGTGAATAATTAAGAAATTTATTATAATAACAAGAAAAAGGTTATAAATTCCTTTCTTAAATCAGTTTTCATCTGATCACTCAATCATTTTAATCATGCTTGTAAATATAATCTAAAACAGATGCAGTAGATCCGGTATACTTAGCACTGAAGCAAGCCACGGGAATTTACGGTCGACGAGGTTCATCAACGCATAATTTTGATTCTGCTACACCGTCACCTCGAAACTTGTCAGAAGCTTCTTTGCAAGATTCCGGATACGCCGAAGCAAGCTGTAATCGTGGAGTTATGATCAGCTCAACACCTCAGCTGGATCAGTCAGGTATTTTAGTTTTTTTTTCTTTAATTTTTATCGTTGTATGTCTTATGTTAACTGTACGAAACTAATGACTGCCAAATATTTTTAACTTTTTAATGCCAATTCAAGTTCATGTTTTTCCAACCAACTTTTTGCAGCAACTGCCAAGAAAGGCAGAAAATGAATAGAAAGAAATAGTTTGTGCCAAAATATACCAGGTTGACTACTGAAAAAGTTTTGAGGGAATAAAGACATTTTAACGTAAAGCAGAGAGAAGCAGATCAGGCTTCAAACTGCTTATTACATTACTGTCTTTGTTTCCATTAATTCCACATTTACCCCAAATGTCATTTAAAATTTTAAAAAATTGCTCAATTTCGCCTTAAGTTTGTCATATAATAAAAACTTCTGCCGATATTATGCCAACGAAATGTATTTATTCCTTTCGAAATTAATAATAATAATAATAATTAGTGATAATAAATATATTTTAATTTTTATAAAAATTTGTTACTATCTTTACTATAAATTTTTTACATTATTATTATTATTATTATTATTAATATTCTTTATTGTTACTGTTTCTGAAAAAAGAATTCCTACAAATACAAAGAGATTGCAAAATAGCTATTTTCTCACGAAATTAACATATTATTTTGAAATGAGTACTATGTTTCATCAACTTATCTCCAATTAGTCTTTCGTAAAAATAAACCTTCAACATTTTTCAAAATTCTGATAACGATTGGAGACTAAATTTGTTTACAGGTATGAATGGAGGAAAGCGCCGTCCGCCTAAGTTACAGAAACAAATGAAATCGTTGTCTCTGGACTGCGCTGACTCACCACCTTCCATTACAAGCGGTGTTTATTCAAGTAAGTCTAATGAACCTGATAGAATTCTAAGAATTTCCTTTAAAATTTGATGTATTCAAACAATAAATAAGGATTCTTTAGCAGTAATATTCATTGTGTGCAAATACTTTCATTATTCTTGTCTACAAATAGGAGCATCAGTTCAAACATGTGCCATTAATAGTACTGATTGAGAAGACGTCAAAATAACATTTGTTCTGTCAAATTTTTTATTAAAAATAAAGAGGAATGCAATAGAAATTTAAATTCCACAGAAATCTACACATTTCATTTTTATTTAGTTCTTTTGAAAACTCTGAATAAAACTGATTAAGTTAAAAGAATTTGAAAAAGAAAATTTATATTGAAAGATGATCATAGGTACGTTGCGATTACAAAACCCCCATAAATGCGGTAAAATCTACGGCAAGGAGCCATGTGAATTAGAAGCCCAGTCTCTGCACCTAGTACCTCTCACCACCGTCAGGAACTGTGGTTAGTACCTATCAAAGGTAAAGGAACAGAGTGTTTGCATGTTGCATTTTCTTCATTTCTGCAAGCATGCATTTTGTTTGTTTCTGCAAACCTTACGGTGGAGAGAGTGTAGTTGGCAATTTTCATTCACTTTCTGGTTTTATTTATTTACCTGCGACATTAAAAGATAACGTCATATCACATGATACAGTCTCTGCAGTCTTTCAAAATACATTCTTATTTCCGATTAAATTTCTAACTTGAAAAAAGACGTCTCTGTATTTCTCGATATATCTTTCGAAGCACAAAATTATCTTCGTTGATTTTCGTGTTATTTGATAAGCAACAAATGAACATTTTCTTAATTCTTTTCTTCCTTTACCTTTTGTTCAAATTTTACAATATTTTATGTTTAGGAAGCAAATTAACACCAAAACTATTACATTGCAATAATAGCTCTGGGGACATATCAGAATGCGAACGAAGTCGATCGTCGTCAGGACCATCTCCTCGCTTAACTCCACGTCGTATTAGCTCTTCAGATGGTACATTTTTCGAACAGCATTTACAAAATTCTGTTATAGCTTTCAATTTATCTTCAGATTTTATAATTTTATTATTTGCAGTTCTGCAAGGATCTCATGTAGTTATTCATGAATACATAGCTGGACCTGACACAGCCTTATGCTTAGGCGATCGATTAAAAGTTGTTGACAACGGGGATCCCGACTGGCTCTATGGTTTCAAGGTTTTCTTTTATTTCAGTGCGTAGTTATAAGCTTTTTCTATAGTCTAGGGTTTTTCCGTTTTTTCAAGTTCTAAATATTTTAATCACTTTTTGTAACAACTGAGACATAATTTGTAGACAGGTGATCGGACAGATCGGTTGATGTCATTCCCAAGTACTTGTGTTGCATTGGTGCAACCTGGTGAGCAGCCAATGTTGCTCAGGCAAAACGTTCATATACCTGAAGCCAAAATGAGACTTTATCGTGACCAGGTAAACTCAGAACTGCTTTTATCATTTGACTAAATTTAAATGTTTTTTTAAAAATTTTTGATGAAGTTTTACTGCATAGTGTTAATGATTTCAGGTGGTATTTGCGCAACCTGATTCAATTATGGCTGGTCGAGTATTGGTACGTACAGAACGTCATGCTTTTGTTCAATGTCCTTTGCAACATCTGCTCTTATTGTGATGCTACTTGATCGCTACCAATCATGGAATACTATTGTATTATAAGCCAAAGATAATTATCCTCATTCAACGAGTGCAGTAGACAGATGATGATTCTAATTCATCCTCATATGAAACGTTTTTCATTATTATCCATTTCGTTGTGTGAAAAATGTTTGTAATATTTTTCGATGATCATATTTTTCATATAATCTGTAACTTACTTTGGGCTATATTCTTCAGGATCAGGAACAGCCTGATTGATTTGCAACCGTTTCCAAGTTTAACTGGTGAGAACCTTACATCTTTAATTTACATAGTTGAATTTTTCTTATTGCTGACTGTTCAGGAACACTGATATTTCAAAATTGATGACATTCACAGGAAGCTAAAATATCTGATTGGTTTACTATCTAAAGGTAATGTTCCAATATAACATCATTTTGCGAATGCTTATTTTCGTGATGATTATGCATTCTGGATGTATTGTATCTTCCCACTGATTTTATCTTCATGACATGGGCGTCTTATCGGTACATTCATGTAACGTAAGCATATAAATGGATAATCATATAATCTGCAACTTACATCTAACATTTTTTCAAGCTTTCGGATAAATTCTTGATTTAATTTTAATAATATTAAAAAAATATGTGGAAGTGTAATTCCAGATATTTGTAACACATCATCTGACTGATTCACTGCACTAATAAATCATTATCCTAAACTGTGCACAACCGACTGATGATATTATCAGAAAAGAAGGCAATTGATAGATAAATACTGCTTAATTTGAGTACAAATGAAGTCTTTATTTGTACCTTTTTCATTTTCTCCAACCACTGTTGCAATCGTGTATTCTTGAACAAATATTTGAACCCCCTTTTGATTCATTGAGCGACTTCATAATAATTAATTCTCGGATCTCCTATATGTTTATACAAGGTCTTTCTGCAGACAGAGATTTCAAATTTTCTTCTACAGTTTTTAAATAAAATTGATGCGGATAAAAAAATTAACAATTAAAGAATAACTCGCACTGAGCTTTATAACAGTTCATTAAAAATTCCCTTAGATTTTTGTTTAAAAAGAAAAACTTCGAAATATCGGAAATTACTGAAGTACAGTTAGAAAAGTAAAAAATGGCGTTAAATTTTGTTGGATTCACTTTTACACAAACAATTTTAAGCTTTAATTGGTTATATAAAATTTATTATGCGTACTGACTTTATTAAATTTGTAAGGAAAATAAGTGTTCCAAAATTCTCTAAACTTTTATGTTTGGAATTCAAAATATAAGAAATTGCTTCAAGCATTTATTAGTTGTTTTTCGCACAACTGATCATATGAAATTGGAGTTAAATACAGAATATAAAAATTTGGAAAATAACTTTTTTACATGTATTCTCAATCAAATTTATAGATTTACAAAATATTTCTACAAGTAGCAAGGAAACAACTCTTCAAGAATTGTCTCGTTACAGCTTTATTTTCCATATGATAAGTTCATTTTAAATGATACAAATTCATTTTAAAAATATTATTTGTGACGGCTTTTTAAAAAAACCGGCGATTATTCGCAAGAAGTTTGAGATTGTGAATCTTTACCTACGTAATATATTAAGTGCATCACTGAAATGTAGAAAAAACTTTGTAACAATCACGAATGATATAATGTTACATGAATCGAAAACCCAAGTTCACAATCGGTTATTCATATTCATCTTAGGGAATAATTTAATCAAGTGCTATGTGTTAGAGATTGTTTTAGGTAAAAGTTATTGATTTTCATACAAAAAAACTGCTTGAAATATAATGTGCAGAAGGAATCTTTTCCATCTGTAACTAAAGAAAGAAATAACCTTATGCACATACTTTAAGAGATCATCAAGATGTGATAAAGTAGATCTAGCGGCAAAGTTCAACGTATTTTTTGATATAAAGGTACCAATCAGCACAAATGAATTCTACGCACACAACTTATACGCTTGGAGTTGTAGTGTAAGTTTTTCAGTTCAACTCCCGTCCAATTACTCAAATAAAAGTCATTTAATTCTAATGAAAAATACTTTCAAAAAAAGGTTGATTTTTCAGGATTTGAAAGATACAAATATCATTGTACCTAAATCCACTCGTTATGAACATAGCAGAATATCTTTCATCCAGTCATCCGGATGATCTGCGATATCGCTTGAGCATCGCATATGCGGTGCGTGTTTTAGAGCAACAAAGTCAGGTATAATTACCATTAGTGATAAACTAATTATTTGTAATACTTATTATATAATACCCAATTCATGTTATTACATCCGAAAATTCTATATTGCGTACACTAAAGTTTCTGACAGCTGACCCTATGAGTGTTTAATATTATCATTATTATTTTGCCGAAATAACTTAATAAATTCGATGAAACTATATTAATATGGAAAAAATCTTGCCTAGGTAGCAGTTAGAACACCGTTATGGACCACTGTTGATTCCATCAGAAAGTTTAAAGTTAGAGTAAAATGATTGATTCATTCATAAATTAAAATTCCCACTAAAATGTTGATACAAATTTTTTAAACTGGTGGATGCGTTTTTTAGACATATGAAAGTGGACTAATAATATTTCTATTAGTTTTTGTCTTTAGATTGTTTAATTCATTATTCTTGTTGTAATGAGTTGCTGATATTGTGGTATTCGCAATCGGATAAATCTGCAGGAAAAGTGTTCTAAGACTTAAGAACTAGTTCATAAGCTTTACCGAATAATCCGTTTGTTAGATCTTATTGCAATAACTTCTTTTACTCCTTTTGACCAAACCTTTATTAAATAAGAAAACTGATTTGATAAACTGGCTCTAGGTTATCTGTTGAATCACATGCACCGCTACTTGGGATTTTAAATGATAAAACTATACATTTCAGTTAATGACAAATATTGACATTACTAGGAATCAGCTTTTCCCAACATGGAAGAGTGATGAAGAGTTTGTCCGACGCTTTCTAATGTTTGGCAATTCTGATGGCATTTATTTTGCAAGGCAAATTGACTTTACATGCACTTTAGTCCCCGATCTGTGCCGTATTATTCAATCAGGTAGGTCGTTCTTTCTTCTTAAACGGTTTGGAAGAAAATATTCCTAAGAACTACCAAAATCAAACGCTCTGGAAATCACTAAAGAATAGCGTAACAGTATGATAGCATACGCCTGCTTGTATTTATTGTATTTAGTATGATAGTGTTTAAAGTAATTTTCCGAGTTTCAGGATCACTTATTGCTTTTGTTATTTCTTATTGTAGGTAGAGGACTGATGATTTTGCAACAAATTTTGGAAATTTCGGAATCAAATCCTGCTCCGAAAAAAGAACCGCTACTAATGGCTCTTGCCCTTTGTGCACGTTATAAAGTTTGTTGTATTTGAAAATTAAATTCTTTTCGAAAAGCTTATGTTTAGTTTAGAAGAAAAATAAGAGCTGACGAGATATTGAAACCATTTCCTTAATCAGGTTCACGATACTCAAAGCAAGAAGAAATTACCGTGGGATACAACAGAGGAAAGGGAAAAACTATTACCGGATGCCGTCTGTCGAGACATTAGACCGGTTATGGAAAAAAGTTACCAAGGATGTCTTCAGAAGGCAGCCCTTTTTGCTGTACACAAGGTTTGCTCACAGAGCCCGTTTGAATTAGGATTTCCAAAAATGACTACAAAAGAAGATATCGAAAAAAAACTGCGATTTTTACAATATTTTCCAAATTATTTGCCTGCTGTTCGCACTAAAAAGTCACTGCTTGCTTTAAAAGGTCAGATAGTATTTGTAGCGTATCGGCTTAGTTAATTATTAGAACTTCACTTCATTCAGTGATGGGTGCTTCCTTGAGTGCGCATAACTTTCACTGGCAGTTATGAGTAGGAAGAAATTCTATTAGCCTTTAATATACGGTAAGATTTAATAAATAGCTGATATAGAGCTTAGAAAACGAATATAGAAAATTGAATGCACATTCCTCATAAAATTGTAATTAACAGCTAACTATTCACAAAACATTCAGTACAAGCTTACACTTGGAGATGAGTTGAGAGATATGCTAGTCAATTTCAAGTATGTACTTGAACCTGATTTGCTGGAGACATTTGCAGGTGTGCGTCACGCCTACTCATTTGTTTACGTTTATCGACTATTGCAAAGTGGTATCAAAGGAAAGTGGACTTAAGAAAGATTCTAATGGTTGGGGGCGTGCATTGCGTGCAACCGTTGTCAAATGGTTTCTTTTTTATTTTATTTTATATATAAACATACTTGTATTTTACTATTCCGACGCTTTTCAGCTTTAACATTCTGTCACGTTCCCTTTTGAACTCGCTCTTTTCGTTCATAAAAAAATTCTATGCATATTAAAATTCTGTATGTATTTTTGACTTATTCTGTATATTAAGACATTTTTGAATTATTTATGTGTATTGGTCTTCTTGACAGAGTCAGATATTTTGATAATGTTGATGCTTGTTCTTGGCAAATTATATGACCTCCTAGCTATATCTCTCATCAAGAAATTTATATCTACAAGAAACATAGCATACAAATGATATATTTTAAGGTACTACAATCATACTCCAAACCGTCTCGCATTCATCATCACTAAGTATCGTTATCGTGAAAGTTACTCGCATCGAGATTTGTTTTGCCTTTGCCATATCCATCCAAAGCGAAGTTTTTCATCCGAACACAACTACTGGCAACATCAAAAGGAATACGACGATATTTTCAAACATATTGCCAGGAATCACAAAGGTATTTATTGTAATTTGAATCACTTGACAGTATTTTGATAAAAGTGATGTATTTTGTATAGAGAAAATATGAAGTCTTGAATACGCCCTCTTCCTCTTCCCCCTTAATTTTTAGGTTAGGAATGATTGAAATGGATATATGAAAAATGTTGCCAGCAGGATAGAAAATAGCATAATAGATTTATCCTTCGAATTATTTACGTGTTTTGTTTTCTTGACATTCAGCGTATTTGATAATGATAGAAGCAAAATAATGAAGTGTTTTTATCGAATATGATTGTTTCTAAGCAAGCAGTGTCGGGGGAGTGTTACATAAACAGTAAGAAAATTCCTTTTCAACTGTGAAAGTCTATAAAAAGTATAGTTTGTATTAATCTTAGGTGTATGAAATATTGCACAAACTTTGTTTCACATTAACTTTTACTATTTTCTTGAATCATCGGAGTATTGAAAGAACTCTTGATATAAATGCCCTAGGTAATGAAAAGGAAGGAAAGGAGAGGAAACGGCGACAAGAATTATTACCTGATAAGCAATCCAAACGAGGTCGTTTAGATCCAGAAGAAACAGAACAAGTACGAAAAAATTTAGAAGAGCTAAATTTGGAACGATCTGAAGAGAAGGAAGCTTCTAAAGACTTTGTAGGACTAGCTAATCCATTCGTAGATGCAACTGCGTATATTAATGCCTTTAATAGGCTTCAGGAGCTAGCATCTGCAAATTTAGAAGAAGCAATTACACTCATTCTTCAATATGGCAAGTATTTGTTCCATTGAAATTTTCTTTGAAGTTTTTCGCAGTGAATTGTCAACTTCTTTACAAATAAGATATAAATTCTTTTTTAAAAAAACCAATTAGCTGCATATGCTATCTTAATATCAATTTTTTTATTTACAAGAAATGCAAATAAATGCATTATCGTTACAATGTTTTGTATGACTGCAATTGAGTTAAGTTGGATGTGTCTTGAAATTTAGAACCATTCCTGGAAATTAGAACTAGAATAATAGTAGCAAGTATTTCTTATTATCTAAACTCAATAAATGATAAAGAAGAAGGAACTAGAAATTAATAAGAAACTTCTATTAGGTGCATGTGAACTACTGTCATCTTAAGGTTTTGAAAAAGAACAAGTGCCACAGAAATTTCTCAGTTTTAAAGAAGTTTGGGGTGCTTTGTTAAGAAGGATGTCATTAAGCGCAATATTAAAAAACATGGACAAAATGAGCAGCGTTGACCTTTTTGAAGAACAGGATGCCAATATGTGAGGACTTTTCTCAAAGTTTCAATTTAACATTTCTTCTAAGACATTAACTCATCATTATATAATGCATTTTTAGGACATAACTTTGTGAGCAGAATTAAACAGTCATTTCAGCAATACAACGATTGGTAAAATGTCAGAATATTGTTCTGATTTTTATGGAAGATTTGCAATTTCAGTTTCGATTATCTCAGTGGTGTATTGAGCAATATATCATCATTTTTTTACGACGATTACGAAAATTACACGGACTTTACAAAGTAACTATGCGGCAAATGTCTGAGTTGACCAAATTATTTTGCACTACATTCTGTGGATGAATCCACAGAATGATGAAATTTAAATGAATAGGCAAGTAACAATTAAAAGTGAAGTCTAGGAGTGACAATATGAGTCATTTTAGCGATGATCCAGTATCTTTGATTGTCAGAAGATTAAATGATATTGAAAAGTTGCGGCAAGAACGATTTCATCCACTTGCAATACTATCAGCCAAAACAAGCTATGAACATGGTTATGAAATGAAGCGGAAGCGCATATGGAAACCAATTAAATCGATCCAAAGAGCCTTAGATAGCGCATTTTACAATTGCATAAATGTTATTGGAGTCACTCACCGACGATATCTTATAGCAGTAGATATTTCGGGTTCGTCACTTCCTTTTTGGAAGTATTCTTAGAAAAGTTAAGTTCATAGAAATTGATTTCCTACAGCAAATACATCAAAAAATTTCACTCGTTTTTCAGACAGCATGGATAGTTTTGTGCAGGGTACGACGATGGCTTGTAGTCAAGCAGCAGCCGCTCTATCAATGGGACTCATTCACCATGAAGTCAATGTAAGTAAGATGGACTGTAAGTAAAATGGAATTCTAGTGTAAAAACTGATGTGCTTTTTAACTTATCTCTGCAACCCTTACTTTAAAATCAATGTTTCGAAAGCAAATACAGTCATAATTGTTCAGGTAATCCCACTAGCTTTTTCCGATTTTTTGATGCCCCTGGAGTGGGACAGATTTATGAGCTTAGGCGAATACTTAACTGCTGCCAAAAGGTTGAAATATGGTAAAACAGACTGTGCCGAACCGATGCTTTGGGCGATCGAGCATGCAATATACGTGGATGTTTTCATTATTTTAACGGATAATGATGTTTCAGTTAAATCTGTTAGTTGCTTTTCTCCTTGTTCTTAAATTATACGAAATCAAATTTAATGAAAAAAAGAAATCTTTTTATTAATGAATCATTGACTACAATGCCCATAATTCTTTTTTTTTTTTTTTTTATCAAATGTAGTAGAAAAACTTTGCTTTTGAAAAAGTATGCTAAAATAAATGGTTCTATTATTAATTTGTTTTAATCTTTGCAATTTGTGTTAGTTATGATTTATTGATAGACTAGTGAAATCATTCGTTTATTCCTTTCTCCTTATATCGTTCAATAATGAAAAGTATCATCAGCTTGATAGAACTTGCAAAAATAACCTCTTAAATCCATTGGTAATACAAAATTTATTTAAGATGAAACCATCTGATGCTATTCAGTGGTATCGCCAACAAATGAGGATGCCGAACGCAAAGTTGATTGTGGTAGGAATGACCGATAAGTCAGGGACACTGGCTAATCCTAATGATCCAAATATGTTGGTTATTTGTGGTATGAATCCATCAGTTCCTCAAATTATTCATGATTTTGTCGTTAACGTTTAAACAACTTGTCAGTAATGTAATTCAGATGTTGTATGCATTACATTGTGATAGGAATAATTAGTGCTATGAGTGGCTGCAATACGGGACATCATTCCTGTGCTTGTACGAAATTTATTTTATATTTTTCAATTCGTAAGAGTAGTTAAAAGATTCAAACTGTATGATTAATATGTTTCTAACATTTATGTTTTTTTTTTTTTTTTTTTAATAAATCCATTTATCTTTATCGGAAACAAACATCAAGTTCACACTTTTGAGATTATTATTACTATTAAATCTTTTTGTAAATCACATTACCATGTGGTAACATTAAGAAAAGTAGTTCATTAAAAGAAGTTCTCTTTGCACTGCTTTTTAAATTGTTACTAGCTGGTGCTTTGAAATTGAAAAACGGGAAAATTGCACAGCTTGAAAACTTATTAAAATCTTCTACACATTTGAAAGATCTTAATCATCGAGCAAAGCACCTTTTTCATTTTATCTTGAAAACAAGTTAAGGTAACATATTCACATCAATATGATAAATCTTGTGTGTATCATCGATCAACGCAAGGAGTGAAACAAGAATTAATGCAGTTTTTTCTTTCTTCAGGAATTAAAAATATTTAAGCAAACATTCCTTGTATTTTTTGCTGATTGGGAATCGCTATGCGCTCTAGCAGAAAGAACCTGCAAATACAAATGACTGTTTGCTTTAGATATTTCTATAAGCATATATGAATATTAGAGTTGAATAAGAGCTGGTTGTATTAGTGTTTATTTTACTTTTTCATCATTTGTTTGCATTAAGCGTCTATTTAAGTCCTGGAAATTGATCAAATTTATGACGAAATAGAAGCAATAGTTCATGTTGAAAAGCGTTATAATACATTCGAAATGTTGGAATAATATTTAGAATATGAAAGCTTAAGTTGCGGAAGACTGTTTCAATTCAGTTTAATTATTTTGCTAAATTCTAGGAAATTTTATTTTTATTCCTGACAAAATTCTGTCTTCCTCTCCTTAATTCTAGGCGAGTTTTAAATAAGCATTCACGAAAATCTATAGCTAAAAATTGACTCGTTATAATTCTTATGCTATACAAGGAACATGAGTACTACTACAAATGAACCGTGTCGCTTTCAAGCACGTTTGGTTGGTGGAAATTTCATTGAATTACCAGTGGAACAGTTACGGCGCATTGCAAATGCCAATGGAGTAGATTCTATCGAACAGGAAACAAAGCACTTTTCATGTAAGTTATTCTCACTCTACTATTTGCTGGGTGAATGAAGAACGAAGAAAGAGAAAATTAGATTTGACTAGTTTACTGGAAATAGCATAATACTTGTCTTGTAGGAAACAGTTATAGACAGTACAACTCTACATGGTCCATTACGACTTTACAAAGGAAAAGGATATGGAAAGATATTCTGGTGTTTGGTAATGTGTTCTGCTGCAATATTCTTATCACTTCAAATAAACATACTGGTAGCATATTTCATATCACATCCAACCGCAACATCTGTCACCTTTGTCCCTGCCGAAATGCTTATTCTACCCGCAGTAACTGTGTGCAACTACAATCCAATCACCAAAAATTATGTTCGGTGTAAGTTCAGATATTGGAATTTGTTATTTTTTTTTTTAGAATTATATTTAGTGCCATGACGTACTGTTTCAATTAAGACTAAACGTGGCACTTTGTGCAGTAGATTTAAATTTCGGTTCATACATTCTTTTGTTCATCATAGCTAAATTTTAAACTACTTCCATCCTTCAGGTACAGGCATTTTCAAATAAATATAGACAAATATAAACTAGGATATTGAGAATGTAAGTAAGTTGTAAATATAAATTTCAACAATTCAGAAATGAAATGTGAAGTATATCAAATACAGATTTGAATGAATCCAGTAGTGGTTCTGGCTATTTCACCAATGATTTGTTGCGCTACATGACAATGGCTTACAGTGAGGTGGAAGACTTATATTTGCACGCGAACAACGATACGATCGAAAGAGGTCGACAAGCATATGAATACTTCAAAAGCATTTTTACAGAGTATCCATTTAATATCGAGAATTTCTTCGCACGAGCTGGGTATTAATCTTTGGCTTTATTTTTTAATCATTTTGACTTGCTTTAGAGAACTTCACTATCTTTTTAAACATAAATGTTATAAAAATGAAACGTATGAATGGAAAGTATTTGATCGTTTCATAAATTCGTCCCACATTTTTTCTTTGTCACAAATATTACCCCACCATTGACTTTGTCGCCAAAAATCATGTCTAACAAAAATGTTCACTCTTGACGATTTATTGGAGTTCTATAAATTCTGTCACGAAAAAGGTGGAACACCTAGGAGGCAAGGTAGAAAGTAAGGTAAAAAGAACTGATCGATTACAACTCAATATATCAAATCAAAATGGAATTTGTCTGATTTCGTTGTATTTCGTTGACACAATATCTTAAGGACTTTATTTACTTAGCATTCACAAACGTGATCATGAATGAAAATGTGTCTTCTTTGAATCACTTTCTTACTAAAGAAGAAAAACATAGGCTTACTGAATATGTTCAATACTTACAAAAAGAAAATTATGCAGAACGAACGATATAAATTAATGCATATTATCACATTTAGAATACGTAATTTATCTCATCAGTTTTTTGCCGCACGAAATTTATCATTTAAATTCAGGTTTGCTTGTCATGAAATGCTTAAAGTTTGTTCTGTGGGTGGCACCAAATTAGATTGTTGTGCAGTGTCACGAAAAGTGCTCACTGACCTGGGTTCATGCTTTGTATTTTCGCTCAATGACATGAAATTAAATCAGACCCAACCAGGTATTTTCAATGGGTATGTTCATTTTTTATGGAAAGCAATTTTCGATTTACCCTACATTAAATTCAAGTTCCAAAGATCAAAAAAAGAAATTGTGAAGTTGGAACATACAAATTTTTGGTAGCCGAAATTGGGATGTACTAATCAGAACAATTAGCAATACAACTTGAATAATTGGTCTTCCTTTACTTTTCAAATTTCTAAAACTGAATGTCATAAAAAGGCTATAAAATGGTGGGAGATTGTTACTTCGTTTTTTAGAATCTTGTTGAGCAGATTCATGTTCTATAATTTATTTAATTGTTAGATAGTGTTTAGATTGCAGCTGATATTAGATGCTGGAATAAATGATGCTATCGCTGTTAATTATGCTGAAGAAGGTTACTTTGAATTTTAATTGAATATGTTTATAAAAAGTGGAAGTCCTCAAAGTGAGCTGAAATTTGTTCAAATCTCATCACGAGTTTATCGTACAAATAAAAAGCATTGTTTTAGGAAATGCTTTGCCAATCTTTTCTAATAATCTAGAAGATGGATTTCGATTATATGTTCGAAGTGAAAATGAGTTAGCATATTCATATACAGAAGGCCTTTCGGTCTCACCTTCCTATCGTGCATATATTGCTTTGAATTTAGAAACGGTATGCTTTTTCTAAGAATTTGATCTCAATATTTGATTTGTACTAATTAAAATAAGTATTATTGTAATATTTTATACATTATGGTTTCAAGATATACTTAGAATCGCCGTTGTATGCAAAAGTTCTGCGCAAAAATCGACAAATGCTGTTTTAGTTTCATTTCCTCACTCCTGATAGTTGGGGAAATTGTACGCATACCTGGCCATTGAAATCGCCTCAACGAGCATTTCGTTTACCATACACGGCAAAAAACTGTGCATCACTTTGTCAACAAGTATGTGTTTTCGTTATTTTTTATCGTCTGTATTCATGTCCGTCGAAAGCATTATTGTGTCTTTCACTTTGGAATGATTTCGTTGTACTTCTTTGATTTATACGTTTACTCATTTAGATATACTATGAACAAAGAATTAATTGCACTCCACTATTATACAGCGTTGGTGATGGTTAGACCTTGAAATTTTGAGTTTTAATTCTTTTGCTTCTCAATTTTGAGTTTTCACTCAGTTTTGCATATTTCTTCAATTTACATTTAGCGCTTTTAGCTCATCTGAATACTTGTACACCAAGCGAACTGCATGCATTCATGCTTCAAGGTAATTGGTCCAATCTCCAGAATTCAAGTTCTTTTAAATTAGAACTTTCAATTAGCCACTTTTTCATTGGGTAAAGTAAGAATATTTGTTTAATTTATATTTAGATTTTCATTTTTCCATAACTTTGATAAATTTAGTTGCTGACCGGACAAACAATATCAATGGCCCTGAATGCGCAGATAACATTTGTCCAACGTCCTGTGTAACCCATGAATATAAGGCATCGATAACTTATGGATATGGATTTTCCGAAAGTGCTATGGACTGGCTGACAAATATTAACAATAAATGGACTCAGAAGTATATAAAGTATGATTTATAATTATGAGTTTTCTCAAATAATCATCGAGCTTCATATAATCATTAGTTCACTGATTTCTCGCGATTCATCGAGAAAGTGATTTATATTGAAATTTTTACAGGGGAAATTTTGCTGTGGTGAATATCTTTTATCGTGAAATGTCTTATTTATTAAATGAACAAATGCAGTCAACGTCGCTGGTGGATGTACTGAGTAACGACAACTTTGATATGAAATGATTGTGATATGATTATATCAACATTCAGGAAAAACCTTAAATGAAAAATACATAAAGTATCAGAAAATATTTGCTGCAAATATTTTAACAAAATGCTGGAATTTAATTTCTAGGTAATATTGGTGGAAATATGGGATTGTTTTTTGGAGCAAGTGTGATAACAGTCATTGAATTAATCATATTTCTATCTAAGCTAGTTTGGATTGCATTTTCTAGTCGACGTCGGGAATATATGTTCTACAAATGTCAGAAAGAACGTGATCGTGAGAAACGCCTCACAACAGTGATCAATATCGCTTCTGTAAGGCATTAAACTCTAAATAAACCAAATTTTCCTACTTCGTATTCTTACTCAAATCATCGAAATATTAAACATATTTAATGAATACGAAATTCTTTACTTCTCTTTGTCCTATTTTCCCGAAATATAAAAGCTGAAATCATACATGAGTTGCAGTATTCGAGGCGAAGCTGTGATGGAACAGCACAGATTGAGGAAAAGAAAATGGTTACTCATCCGAAGAATACAATTTAAAAACTGACAGAGAATATGGGAAAACATAAATAGTGATATCTGTTTCAGCTATTGTATTAAAGTGATAATGGGTTGGGTTGCATTATTAAGCTAAATGATTATCATACACATACCTTGTTTATTGGCTACCTCATTTTGCTATGTTCAGTTTTTTTTTTTCTTATGTGAAATTTTAATATAAAAATTTTGTACACCTTTTTTGAGGAAGAGAGAAAGAATCTACATGAAAATAATTGGTTGTTATTCAAGTATGCAATATGTCATAATTTAGTTTAGTTTGATCGTGACTAACTTAAGAATGATATTTTAACGAAAGTTAGTAATGGCATTCTGTCACCATAGTGAGTCTTACGTGCTGTCCTATATGCCGTCGTTTTGAAAAATGGCAATTAAAAATAACAATTATTACAATCGCCTATCTAAAAGTCTTGAAATCTTTCACTGGGTCACCAAAAAAAAAGTAAACATGGAAAATAGATAAAAGAATCGGTGTGCATTCCATGAATTCCTGCTTAGTTGAGTCTAAAGATTATGACAAAGATGAGCAAGTATTATTTTTTGAGATATTAGGATACCTCACACAGGAGGCCACAATGAATATTAACCAGTCAGTTCATCAATAATTAATCAGTCACAACATTTACAAGATCTTCATTTGCTTATTGATTAGGAAAGAATGACAAGAATAATTTCCTATGGCTGGATAATGAATTTACTAGAAATGAAATAGGTTTATGCAATTCATTTTTCATGCATTTGTCGTGGAAAATTTGAAAATTTAATTACTATTTTGGGAGAGGCTGTTAATTTCGGGATATGTGGGATAACAGAGGAATATAATATTTCTTTCATTGGCAGAAACAATAGTACAATAACTGATAGAGAAGAATTGAAGTTGAACTCTCCTGGTTCTCGGTAAAAACACACAATGCCCTTTCTCAACAAGGATGACCTCGTTATATAGCAAGCAATGTGCATAAACAAAGTATATGATTTACAATATGAGGTTGACCTGTCGAAAGAGTAATCGATCTAACAATGAGCTGTTGACCTGGTTTACAAGCAAATCTAATTACTAGTTGACAAGCCGTAAAGGACGTCAGTTAAGTAAAAATTGTTAACTCCGTAGATTCAGTTAATTTACAATTAGTGGCTACACAGAAGTGAGATCAACCAAATGAAGGGCTGATACCGTGTAAACAATATATGTAAAAGATTTACAGCCTAAACATAAAATTGGAAACAAGTTCAAGGTACCAACATTGTGTTGCAAGGCGTTTATAGAATATATTTCTTATGCATATTCTCAACTCTCATATAATATTTTAAAGTTCGCGATATTGAAATCTGCGACAGTATTCGCTAAGATAGAAGGAGCAAAAGAATGAATGACTGGATTCTTTATCAATGTATAGCCCTGATAGTAAATATTTCTCGAGACCACCACACTCTTCCTATCATTGTTGACAGCAGCATTGTATACATTGGTGTTACCCCACTTTTTTTACGCCCATGTCGCCTGACAGAATCGCTACATTTGTTTTTCTCCTCCTCTTCCACCTCTTTCTGCCCATCCTCCCACTTTGCAAACTCACTATAAAACACATATTTAATTGCCAGAAGAGCAAAGTAATGCAACCATACGACTTTGTACGATATTGTTGATAAACTTACTGAACTCTATGTCCTAGCAACTTTTTCCAAACGGTTTTAAACTGGAAAGTTCTAACACACTGGATGGTAGCTATTAAGATTATTATAAAGCAAAATATGTTTTCATATGTTCTGAAGCAATAGATTTTGTTGAAGCAAGCTAGGACTTTAATTATAATTAACTTACTGACAAGTTTCACAGTGTCTAATAAATCATTTGTTTGACGATGAATTTCATTCCTTATTTGAAGTGCAAATATAGCATGATTGATTCCATTTGTTTCCATCTCACTCAGTTTCTCTTCTTTTACTTTGATCGTGATTGTGTTTCACATTAGTGCCATCTAAGTGATCAGGCAGGATCGGTCTTTTCTTTGTCTCTTAAAGAGATCGACTGAATTCACATCATTTGGCAATCTTTTCTACAATATTTTTGACACAACAAAGTGGTCCATGTGCACCCCTTCCCTTAAATGAAATGATACTGTTTACCTGATTTGCTATCTGTTCGTATTCCGCTTTTTGTTAATATTCAGTCCCTTATGGCCTGTTTTTCTGTCATTTTGTTTGTTTCACCAATATTTAGTTTCCATTCACTTCATTCCCAACTTCTACAATAAAAAGACAAACATAAAAGTGGTTGTTCAGGTTTCACGCTGCTCTTGTCAATACTAACAACGCTTTTTTCGAAGACAAGCAGTTATGGCTTTGTCACAAATAGAACGGCTGGTTAACTGGCTTAGGGAAATTGCTGTTCGGAGGAGTTTAGTGGAACATGCAACTAAGAAAGAATTCTTGCAAATGATGGGTAATTCCTCTTTTCTTTTTTTCGAAGAAAATGGATAAGAAATCAAAAATGCTTTCGGCATGAAATTAACTGGTTTGAAATTCCAGGAAAAATACACCGTCTTTCCTCTTATTATTTGTTTTTTTAGTTTTCGTATTATTTTGCATGCGTTGGTCAGGTAAGTCCATTTTTCTCCCTTCGAGCTTCCCCTACATTTTCAGGTACAACAAAACTACATGGCTGTTATAGACTTTATGCTGGAAAAACTTACGGTCGTCTGTTTTGGCTACTTGTAGCCATTTCAACAGGTGTAGTTTTTGTTATCATTTTGGCAGAATTAACGAAGCAATATAAGGCGGAGAATGTCAGGACACAGGTAAATGTTTTTCAAAACTCTCAAAGTAAGCTTCATTTTTTTCACAAGCAGAAGCTTAAAATGATGAAATCTTGTCCCACAAATATAAAGGAAATGATCTTTCTCGTAGGAAAGAAAGGTTGAATATATAGTTCGTAAAAAACCGAGTTATATATTACATCTAAGCAGAGAGAGTTTTAAACTCCTAAATTATTTATTTATCTATGACTTCTTTCCAGCTATATGCAACATTTTTAATGTGCAAGCATTCTATATGTCCCACCCACACTTTGTTATTTCATTTTAATTAGCTGATAAAATAGATTTCCCAGAAATCACTATATAATTTGTAATTGTTTGCAAAACTTAGGTGGAAATAGTATATGATTACGCGGATGGTCCATCATTAACGATATGCAGTCATAATCCTGTACGACGTAATTACATTGAAGGTACGGCATTATTTTTTCTTGTTATTCGTTTTGCGTAATTTATTTCTTTTGCTTTTGCAAGCAATAAATTGATCTACTTTTTCAATAAGAAAATATAAACTCTGTATTTCAGTTATTACTTACGTTTTGTACTCATTTTCCTCCTGCGTTTATGTTAAAATGTTTTTTAGAGCTGAAGAGAACTACAACTTTTTCCGATGAACTGTTAATGTATCTATTACACATCTTTTTGCGCCCAGAAGACTTTGTTGAAATGGATGTTGTGGATGGTCTTCTTGATGGAGAAAGATTGCTGCAAGATTATATGTTCACAAATAAGAATTTTACAGTGGACTCCTTCGTTAAGGAAGCCAGGTTTTGTTTCACGAATTTAATAGTGGGAAGTACTTTCACTTATTTAATAAAAGATTGGTTTCATCAATGTTTTTGTGTTCTAACATTATAAACAGTTTCTCCACTACTACTTCATCAAATATGGATAAATTCTATTGAGAAAGTCACTATTATAGTTTCAAATGTGAAGAAGCTTTTGTGCAGTGTGCTTTCGAAGGTATCATATTCGACTGCTGTAATGAAAGGTACTCAACTGCTGTGCTCACTGATCTCGGGTATTGTTTTCAATTTGATTGGAACAAATTAAGCAAGGATTTCAGTCTTTCCTACCACTTTGGATCCGTTCATGGGCAAGTCTTTAATTCTCTTATAGGCTTTTCTTTTACTGAATTAATAGGTGAACTATCTTTAAATATACAGAGGACCATTAGTTCTAAGTATTGCTTACGGAAATGCTGAAGGTCACTTTATGATTCTGAGTTTGGCTCTTGTCTTCGAATGCTCAGCCTTTATTTCCATGTTTTAAATTATATTCATTAAGAAGTGTATAAAATAATGTGAAAAGATTTCCCTATAGGATTCTTTTTTAATTTGTTTACAAAAATGAGCAGTTTTTTACAGGACATTTAATACTATGTATTTTTTACTGCTTAGAAATTGATATTGGTAATTTGTTTCTTCAGATTTCAAGTGATGCTTGATTACCAGTCATACAATGAAATTTACTCTGTGAATTATACAGGTATCGTATTAAGTTTGATTGTATATCTCTTAGGGATAGTTCTGTTTTATTTCATCTCATCAATCCATGTATCTCACTACGTGATCTGTATAGTCTTTTGAACTCAGTTGAATTTTAAATTGAAAACTTTAGAGTTAAATATAGTAATTTCGTTGTCCCGGCATAAAACCGCTGTTTCAGGTAGTCGAATAAAACAACCGTTTCTGAACAACTTCGAACCTGGTTTTCGTATTTATGTTCATGATAAGGATACTATTTCATACGTTAGTTCTGAGGTCCTTGTCGTCTCACCAAACAATAAGCTGTCTGCAGGACTGAAGCCTATTAAGGTTGTTTTTTGAATGCTGTTACTTCAATATATAGTTCATTCAGTTCTAAAAGATACTTTGATTTCTTGCAGTACCAATTTCTGGAGCGTTCTAAAGGCGGCACTTGTTATAATACTTGGCCGTTATCTTTGCGGCACAATTCTACATATTCTTCGTCAGCTTGTAAAATGGCGTGCATAGCAAGATATTTCATTGTGAATTGTGGTTGTATTCCTCTCCAATATAATATTTTGATGGGTGAAACCTTTTCTTTAAAGTGGTCAGACCTGACTTAAGCTATAAGATCATTAACGAAATACGAATTAAGTAAAGCTAGACAACTTCATGCTCAAAACTGTAAAAAACAAGACGATAAAAATCCAGATTAAATAGATTGTGTAAGCAATATAAAATTAACTGGATTTTTTTAATACAAAATACTGTTTTTAATGAACTCTCGAAGTAGTTGTATTGCAGAAGGTAGGCTTTGCTCTCCAAAAGAGATCTTCGATTGTATTAGCGACGTTACAGAAATTGCGAGTAAGTACTTCAAGAACCATGTTAAGAGTTTCTTGATCTTTATAAATGAATTATTCATTTTAAGCAATGAAAAAAAAAGCTCATTTCTTCTTTCTCTTTCTTTTCAGCCAGTGTTTCTTTTATATGACTTTTTATGGCTTTCAACCAACTTTTCCATTAGAAAATTATTTCTAGACCTCATTTCTCAGAATTGCTCCTTTTTAGGTATTGTTCATAATGTTACTTACTCTTCTTTATGTCAAGATTGTGCACCGGAATGTGAACTTTTCATTTATTTTACACAGAATTCTATTATCCACAACATTCTTACCTCATTGGGTAAATATATGGAAGGCCTGAAGCAGCAGTACAAGCTTAGCTATGTCAGGTGATTTGGAAACTAGTTTTTCTGATTCCTCTTCTGATCGTCTTTCTATGATTATTTTTTGAGAGTTTCCGATTTATTTCTTGAAAAGAAGACCTCTCACTTTAGCATACTCAAAACACAAAGTGTTGAAAGTCAGTTAATGTCATATCATGATTTGTTACAAATGGCTGGATGTTGCTGTATGCAAAGAATAAATTGATCATATATGGTTTAGTTAAGGAATAATCTGGCAACCGTACATGTGTTTTTTGCTTCAAAAAGGTATAAGATATATTCGCAGTCAACACTTTCCGATTTATCAAGTTATTTAAGTAAGCATGCTTTCTGTTTTATGTTATATATATTACATTTATTTTTAATTAAAACTTTCTGTTCACTTTTCATGTATTTCTGGTTTTCAAAGCTGGAATTAGTGAATTCAATGTGTACCTTTTTCACATGTGTTGTTGTAATAGTGTAAAACTCTATGTCCTAAGATTTCAGGTAAAATCGGTAGCGATATGGGTCTGTTTTATGGTGCCAGTGTTATTTCACTGTTTGAACTGATTTTAGTGCTGTTCAAAACAATTTGGGCATTTCTTTCTCCATCACGTGCTATTTATCTGAAAGAGAAAGCCAAACGAGAGGTACTCAAATTAATTTTAACAATTCAGTGTTAACCCCAGTAACCGTCAAATTTATTCTTACACACTTGTTTTCAAGAGATTTTCTTATTTCAGATGGAAAGAAAATTGTGCATTGAGGAAATCATAAATGAATATTCTATACCAAACCAAATGGTTGGACATGTCCCACAAAGAGTTGAAGTCTGTAACTTATTAGCGTTAAAAAGTTATGTTTTTTAATAAATTCAAGCACTGTAAGATTCCAAAGTTCAATTTAAAACTCAGATAGATCCATTCATCAGAATTCCTAAGTTATGTATGATTTTCATGTTACTCTTTTATGTGTTTGTAAAATAACAGTTTTGTGAATTCCTTGCTCTGGAGGTTTCCTGTAAAATTTTGAATTCGTCTTATAAAAAACAATCCTTAGCATGACATTACTTTATGCATAACATTATGTGTAACAATAATTGTCAGATACCTACTATTGAATCAGTTGAAGTTGAAAATGTTCATATTTCACATGTAAAAGAGAGCTTGATTGGAAATGTGCAGTTGTGGCTGAAAAGAAAGTTGTATTCGTCCACACTTTCGGTTCAAGTTCGTTTTATTATTTTTATTTTATTTTTGGCTTCACTTTATTTGCTAGCTTTCGCTAAAATGTTGAAAAAAGAAATCGTTTAACTCGTTAATGACTTGAGGTTTGCAGTCAACACTGTAATGTTTTTCAGCATCCACAACGAAAACTGGATCAAGTGATGTCACTAACATTAACACCAGAGCAAGCTAGTGCAATTTTGGAAGTGGAAACATTTGTTGATTCAATATATGTCCCTCTAAGAAGGGACAAAGTGAGAAATTGATATCCTATAGTTTCACGAACTATTTTTTTTTTTTATCACACAATGTATTGATTCAGAAGTGAGTTCGAAACAAACAGTTATATAAAATTGGGATGAAATTTATCTTCTTCATTGTAAATTAACTTCGTACTATTAATTAATAGAAGTCCCTTGATATTGTGATGAAGTAATTGATTTAAATAGGTATGCGTTAAAATTTCTCTTTGCAGCTGTTATCGACAATCGGAAGTGACAATAGCAAACGATGTATTTCTGTAGTTTGACCGTTTTTGTGCTGATAATCAGTATATTACCTGCAGCTTGGATCATTATATATGAGCAATAGTATAATTACATTGTGAATGCTGCGTTCAGTATCAAATTTAAATAAAATAACTGATCTAGATTATCTGCTTTTTCTGTTATAGAGCACTTCATAAGGCTGACCCGGAATTCTCCTACTATATGGTGACTGTAACTTATTGAATAAATTGATTCGAAGACATCTTGATATGGGTTAAATTGTTTTAAGTTGATAATGTTGCAGAACCATTAGATATTTGAGCGTTTCTTCTCACTATTGGAGCTTTGCCGTAGCGTTAATTCCTCTTATTCCAGGCCATTAACTTAACCTCTCTAAATCAAAAAAAAAAAACTAATGAGTAGAGTCATTGGATTTCCAGTTCTTTTGGCTAATCACTAGTTCTCATGTTATGTGAAGTATGAGTAAATTGGTTGCTCGCAATAAAAAGAGTAGCTTTAATATTGTAACTAAAACGATTTTATAAAATGACTGAAAGCAGAACAGTAACAGTTATCGGTAAATTATGTCGAGAATTTTGTGCATTTAGCATTTCCAATTAATTTAAAGCTTTTTAGAACTTATAAGATTATCTAAAGAAAGTGGGGAATTCTTGTATATATAAGAAAAGACCTAGTTCTCAACTCCAAAAGCAACAGAAATAACATTGCGAACAATCATTTTTATTGTCCTTTTTCCATTTCTGGATTGTTTTAAAATAAAGTCCTGATATTTACAGTAACAAAAGGGAAGTTAATTTAAAATTCATTTGAATAAAGGCAGTTATCATTAACAGAATTTTTGGTAAGCATTCATATACCATAAAAGAAATAAATGACTGGAAGAAGGGAAAGTATTATAAGCTGGTTAATAGTTGGGTTATAGCTTTAATTTCCTTACAGCTGTCTTACAAAAATCAAACCCATGTGTAGGTACGTACTGAAAATTTGTGCGAGCTTCTGTGTTTCGGGTAATTCGGTGATTCTTTTCATCAAAACTTCTTTTACTTGCCCTTTTTAAGCTGATTCATTCAGATATCTTCAAGGTTGGAATTAGAAAATAGCGTCAAATTCATATCATGCAGTTTAAATGTTCCTTGAAATCTTAATTAACTGTCGTGCTCCAAGTTTTGCTACATTTTCCATCATCGATGCCAATTCCCGTTAAATATTTTAGCATCTTTTTTCACCTAACTTCGAGTTTCTTTTTTTTCTTTTTTTCAAATTCTGCATCCATGCTTTCATGATGCTTCCCTGCTCTTCGTAGTTCCGAAGCGGGTTCTTCTAAATATCGTTTCGCATAAGTATTGGTCCCATTAATTTTCGGTAATGAAATCCATTTTTCGTTTACACTTTGATACAGTTGAAGTTTTCGCTTAAGATGAGCTACCACCACTTTCACCACTTCTCAATGTCACATATTTTGCTTCTGTTGATTTTTAAATGAGTTTGTTATTCTATTTTTTTTGGTTCAAACTGAACCGCAAGTATTCGCAAGTTTGGTGATTTGCCATGCAATTGTAATCAGGGCTGCAATTCATTATCAAATGAAAGGGCAAGCATTACAAAAATTGGATATCATCATAAAAAGAATTTTCATCAAATTCAGTTGTACTCAGACGTTGATAGAAAGATGTATCCATGATGATTTTATTTTTGGCCACATTTTTTTTTAAACGAACCGAAAGCAGCATTTCCTTTCCCGATGTTTCAAATAAAAACTGATAATTAAAAATTTGAGAAATGATTCATGAAATGAGTGTTTTCATGAAAAAGTGCCAGTTCAACAATACAGTTGAATTTAAGATATTATGATATCAGTAAGGTTCAAGATAAAAATATGACTTCAAACTGAAGTCTTCCTTGGAATTACTAGCTCTCAAGGAACAGTCATAATGACACTCATTAAGACTACTGTTTTGCCTATCATTTATTAAACTCTCAAAGTTACAAATACCGGAAAAATGCAAAAAAAAAAGGAAAGAAAAAAATTCTCATCAAAAAACAGACACAATATTTATTTCCTAAGTGGATAAAAAATACAGATTAACAATTACGATGCTAATAAGTGTACATTAAACATATCAACTTTGAACTAATAATTACCTGCAAAACGCTAATCGCAAAATATCGGAATGTAAATTTAAATTTAAAACATTTACATAATATCTATAATCCTAATTTATAATCTCGAAAATTTGAACATAAATTTATATTTATCATCTTATTGCAGAATCGGTTTGTAAACAATTTAGATCACCATGAAAACTGCATTTAAATCAAAAAGGCAATAACGGCAATGTAAGTCAGCTGAAGTACTCACAATAGCAATATTTAAATAAAATACAATCAGAAAAGAACTATAACAATCAATTTTTGCTTTGTGTATACTTTGACTTCTTCCAATCTTCGCTAAGCTGTTTCGGAGAAAAAATAAACAAGTAATGGAAAAGACATGTTTGAATAATAAAGTTTAACAATTTAAAAACATTTAAATATCTTTAGCTCGAGTCTTTCGGATAAAGCATTTGAATATCAGTAGTTAGTGATGCAGTAAACAAAATGACTGTCAAAATCTAGGAAACTGCTAGCAATCGGAAAAAAAAATGACAGAACAGTATATTACGAAAAAGGATACAAAACACTATATATTATTCGAAAAATAATTTTTACAAAGAAATTTCAAGAAAATTTTCAAGTAGAAAAAAAGGTCGCAAATTTAAAAAAAAAAAAAAAAAATTTAGTCTAGGAGTTTGATAGCGTATTAATTTTCAGAAAGAAGTTAAAATCCTCTTAACATCAATCAGAAGTCTTTTAAAAGAATAAAATTTATCTAAAAAATATTAAAAATGAGAAAAATTCGAGAATTATATTTTGTTTTACTTTTTAATGCAGAAGTTTGTCAAAACAGATGCGAAAAAGAACCAGTTATTTTGTCGTGAAAGTAAGTGAATTGAGCAATAACAGAAATTGCTAAGAAGGAAATGTAAGATTTACCTAAAACTTGTTTTTGTAAAGGAATATGAGAAGGCACATCTTGATAGATAAAGCACAGGTCATAGAGCAATTAAAACAGATTTTAATGCATAACGAGCAGGCACAGCTTTTGCGAAATTGAAGAATGGAATCATACAAGTGCGTTTTCTTTTCAGGCTTTTACAATAATTAAATTATTCTTCGCTGAAGTTCCGAGACAGTCTTCATGCGTCTCTTATTTATGGATGAAGTCCGCCACATGACTATTACAGTACGGTCTGCAATTCACCGAATACCAACTATCGAAAAAAAGTGATGCCAGCGATGGAAATAGTTAAATAATATGACATAACATGCACGATATTGACTATTAGTTATTATAAAATGTACATTGAACGTCCAAACAAAGCAAAAGTTGCTTAAACTTTTGCTTAACTTTAGCTTTTAATGGCTTAATAGTTAACCATAATTGTGATTCATTTTTCACAATTTTATCACATCGGACTTTGGCAGTGATAATAACTTATTAAACAGTGCTTGGGGAAATATTTGACAGGAATAGTTATAGATATCAGCAAACAGTAGTCAACTTGTTTGAAGAAAAATTAAAAGAAAAACGATAAAACTCTACAACTAGATGGCACTGATCTCTAGATAAACTATTAAAGTATTAATAAACTAATAAAGGCTTCAACCTTACAGTAAAACATTACATTTTATGTTACTACTGTAATGCATTAAACAAGATTAGTAATGCCTATTTCTATTTTCCAAATTGCTATAATTCAACCTTGCTTCACTGCAATTCTGTAACCAAATAAAATTGTGTTATTTTGTAGCTTTTGTCTTAGGCTTATTACTTTTTTCACCTATTGTGATAAGTCGCATAACCAAATTTGCTGAATTTTAATCATATACAGATTTTAAAGGCAAAGTCAGCAACTGGCTGTTTTATCCTGATTAAAAACTTATTCAGAAACTGAATGAAGACAAACAATGCAACATAGTCCAAAACTTTTTGACTGTTAGTTTAATAGAATATCAGTAGGAGAACCATATATCTATTATTTTAACAACTTTGCCAACTCTTCCATCCACCCATTTTGCAGCATTAATTCAAGTCATCATCTCACTTAAAACTAATTTCCCTTTTTGTTTTATTAGCTTACTTATTTTCTCATATAATTTCAAACATTTGTTTGACCATTCAGTTTCCATCGAAATCCAATAGCAAGGTTTCATGGTGAAGAACTAAGTAGGAATAGTGAAACTATGAAGTAAAAAAGTTTGGTTTCAGTGCTTTCAGACCTGTTCTGTAGTTTTAGCAGTATAAGGGAGATTATACTACTTACATCTCAGCAACTGAATGATTTAAGGTTTAATAACTACAGTTAAGCAAGAAATGATTTCTGGACTCGAAAATCAACAACTAACGGTTATAAATGATTAAGGTAGGCCAAAAGTAAAATACAGCGCTATTAGAAGCAATATAACAGCTCAGAGTCAAGATGATAAACAAACGACGTTAAGATTGTGTTTTGCAATATTGAAAATAAAATTCGGCGCTGAATTAGTGTTTTAATATGTCCCGCCACCTTCAGAACAGACAATAAATTAAATGGGCAGGACATTTTACTCGACCATCGACAATACCATTTGTCATTAACAAAGAGTTTCCACAAGAAAAAAGTAGCTACTTGGCTATACCTCAAGAAAATAATGTACTCAAAGAGTAAGACTGGAACCAGAATCCCTAAAACAGTCAGGCATGATAGGATATACGTAATGGAAGAACACTGATCACTACATTGAATAATTTAAGCAAATCTTAAAAGTTTCAGAACTTTTAATAAGTTATAAAAGTTACCTCAATCCATTTTAATGTATTTCGATGTCTTTTTGCTTCTCACTGCAAAGTGAGAAATGGAACTTTAAAAGGACAAATAAGTGACGGTTTGTTAAAAGCATTATGTAGACTTATTAATTTAAGAAATTATTGAGGACTATAAAGCTTATTTGAATTGGCCTATATGAATTATTTGAACATTTGAATAAAGAAACAAACAAATTATAGTAAAGAATTGCATCGAACCTTCCTTTTTAAATTAGAAAATATTTTTAAAAACCATCAAAAACAATACCTTTGACTTCTGCTCAAGTCGGAGTCCACCAATTCACTTTTTTTAGCTGCACTATTAATCCACAATTTTTTCGGTTTCATTTCATTAATAACTGAAACTTGGAATCATTTTTAAAATGTAAAACTATCCAGATAGAAATTTAAAAGCTATTTTTATAAACAATAATTACATAAGCTATGCAGAATTAATTTGAGGGGACAGAAGAAAGCATAATTTTACAGAAGCTATAGTGAAGGTAAATTGAAACTTCTGATTAAACCGTTTAAGAGAGTCAATTCAAAAATTTTTGATTAGTAAATAATTTTTTCCTTGTATAATTTCAGCCAAACGAATTTGAAAAGCAAGCATTTATGCTAATTATGATTGTAAACTACATAGCAAAAGAACATTTAAAAAGCGTTCTGGAGCATAAATTTTGAATAATTTCTGCATTCAAAAGTTATGCTTTACACTCTCACCAGCAAGAAAAGAGGAAGATTAAAAAACGGGAAAATGAGTTTTCGACTGTTGGAAAAGAAAGTATTAGAATTGTTTTAGGATAGAATAAAAATAAATTCAAGAAAACTATAAACGAATCAATAAACAGTCAATTGATAGTCATGCAGTTTTTTTTTTGAAACTTCGAGAAACGGCAATTACGCGTAGCAAAAAAGTTTGAATACTAGAACGAAAATAAAAAAATTTTTTCCTTTCAAACTTTTTTTTTGGTATGATATGCAAAATATAAAACAAAAACAATGAAGCTATCTGTAAGCACGAAAATTTTCCACTTACAAAAACTTCTTTACTTTTCAGATAAAGTTGAAAGCTCGAAAAACTCAAATAGATAGATATATGTAAGGACGTACTCAGAGATTTTCGATCCCAACCTAAAAATAATTAGACTAATTTAATAATTTACTTGTGTATTAATTCACATCGTCCTTTTACCGCCTTTCCAGTTGTCAGTTATAATGCAATTTCTAACATAAATTATCAAAATGAACAACAATCAGGGAATCAGGGAAATTCGTGTTAGTGAATATGGAGCAAACAACGATGATTTGAAAATATCCGGTTTGGAAAAACTAAAATAAAAGATAAACTATAAGTGAAATAGTCCTTATCATAATAAGATGTTGTTACATGTACAATTATAAAGGTAGAAAGATGTTAAAGAGAAATCACCTGCGACGTGGACAGACTCTCTGTTACTGCTTAGTAGTGAGTTCTTTTCCTGTATATATGGCTTCTTCAATTTCTCTAAAAACAAATGAACCAAAAAAAAAAAAAAAAAAACTTACTAAAAAAGCATTTAAGAATGCACCAAACAAAACAAAAAAAAAAAAAAAAAAGACCGCAAAATTTAATCTTCTACAACGGTAAAGATAACAAGGTTATCTCGTAAGCTTGCCACTACTATTACTATGTTCAATTTAATAGCTATTAGTGAAAAAAATTTTGTTCCATTTCATCAATCACTAAGCTAATTTTACATCAAAGATTTGTAATTATACAAAGGCATTTGCAGATCACATCACTGGTGTTTAGTAATTGTTTAGTAATTGAAAGGTTTTTCAACCATAGTGAATTCAATACTAGAATTTGATTACCACGAGAAATCTAACGAAGCATGTGATTTGCAAACTAAATAGTTTCGGAATTTCAACAAATGTAGATCATTAATTTCCTGATTTTCTCAAATTATTCCTTAAGATACAGTATCATGCCCATTTGTTTCTTTTTCATTTAGATAAACCTAAACCTTCTGGAAATAATGAAGGGTAATTAACAATAAAGTAAAATTTACTTAGATCTATCCTTGATCTCTAAAAATGGGTTATTGATAAAATACACTACAGGAAAACAAACAGTTCCATTTTGCTGAATATAAATATCATCCAGCAGTTCCAGACAAAAATCAGTGACGAGTTCAGGAAAAGGAAGAAGTTAGAGATGAAACTCACCGCAAATTGCAAAAACTTAGTTGTGAACAGCAGTAGTTTCAAAACAAAAGCGGCCTATTCCTTTCTCTACAGTGAATATTTTTATAAATAGTTCTCTTAATTCCTCTTATTTGGAACGAAAATAATGCTTCCCATACTGATTAAACGAACTGCAAAATACACTAGAATTTTCTTAATCTTCAAATTAACTCGCAGAAGTAAAAGAATATTGAGCTATATCGAGGGTTTGGAAAGAACCAAAATAATGTACAACTATCAGGAAGGAGTTAACTGAACAAGCTCAAAAAATATAGCTTATCCGTAAATATCGTCCTTAACTTCCCCCTACAACAGGGTATGCACTATCCAAACAATAATTTAGATCCGAAATGCGAACCGTTCTCATCAGAAGAGAAAGAAGCTGCTGTAGCGCAGCATGAAGGATTGAAACACCGTTGTACTGGTGAAAGGCGTCCTTGTTTCATTGGGAATATTAGGAACAATGCTATCTGTATCATTGCCAACAGCATTCCAATCGCATTCGGTGTCTACACCGAAAATAAGTATCCATTTGACGGGAAAGAGATTTTACGACTTTACTGGAACTGTTCAGACTGACCAGGAAATTCGAAATAAGTAAATTTATTAGGCTTAATAATTTCGCCCAAATTGTAAAGGAAAAAAAACGGTATCATTTAGTTTCGCAATATTTCTTTAAATAACCTTTTTTTAGAACAACATTAATCTTATAGCATTTTTTGAACAGAGCTTTTAAACAACAGAAAACAAAAATAAAAGTGAAAACTAACAATAATGTAAACATCAGATACCAACACACCGTATAAAGCCCATTGACTTGATACAAGAAGATTAGCTATACACATTGGCAATGGTAACGTCTCGCAACTGCGTTGCCGTAATACCACTTTCTAAGTGTTAGAATTTCGCCTTTAAAGATGATGAAAACTTCGTTAGAAATTTTGACTTACATTAGCATTTTAAGGAAGAAATTCAATAAAAATGAATGTAATAACTTACAAGACCAGCTAACGGTGCACCAAAGTTTAAAATGTTAAAGGTCATGCATGTAAAGCCAAGTGGATGAAAAATATCATGCCTATATATCCGGACCAAAAGAAGCATCAATGATATAAGGAATATCACGGCACAAATTTCAATCGAGATCCATAGCTGCATAATAGAAATACTTGTAAAACAACGGGAAGAAATGAATGTTACCTGATAAGATGAGAGTCAAAGATTAATTCAGATTCGTTCTTCAGATACTGAAGATTAAGTATTCAGTTCAGTATAGAACACATTAATATTTTATTGATTTCCAAACAGTTTCAAAAGCTGGTAATTTATAAAACGATTACCTTCTTTTTAGTCATGAAGTAGTAAAATATAAGATATAAGCCCATAAGTGTGGCGGCAAAGATATTCACTGCGATCATTGTGTAATCCGTTTTCATTAAACCATATCGCAGCCAGTATACCGCTCTGAAGTGCTATATTTGATTTTTTATAAACGAATGTTTTGAGAATTCATTAATGAGTTGGAGAAAAAAGAAACTTACCCGAGAACACCCATTAGGAACGGCACTGCACTGATATCTTTTGTATTTCGTCTTTTCCAGATATTTACACATATCGGTCTGAAATTTAGTTAACAGTGAAATAAATTTCTGACAATATAAAGACAGCCAGCGCGTGGCATTAATAAGGAAGAAGTTTCTGGGATATGAAATCGAAAAACAAACTCACATTCCACAGAAGAAGAGTGATACGGTAGTAATGAAGGCGCTAACAGAGAGACATTGTAACAATGTTAAATTGTGGAAGAACTCAAGAGACATTTTTTAATAACCGGGCTGCAATAAAATAGTTGCTATTAGCTATGCATCGACATTCCTCAGAAATACATGTCAACGTCGAAAAGTGGATGGTACTTTGACTAAGCAGTGCAGACTACTAACACATATCGTGTGCATTAATAATATTAAGAAATATTATTGATTAGTCATTATCAAAATCATGATCCTAAAGATTAAGCATAGAGAAATTTGCTGAAAAAATTAAAAAGGTTTCGAATTCTATACGAAGTTTTTCAAAATGTACAGGAAATTTTTTTGAGTGAATAAATTTGAACTAAGTTGGTTTTAATAATTCCTGTAAAGCTATCATTCTGTCGATAGGAAATGCTTCGGTGAATAGCATACCAAAATGATCAATTATTGAATTTATTTTGAGTTAGCTTTCTGTTTGCCCTCCATGCATCTAAGAACAAGAAGTTCTAAGATTTTATGCATTCTGAAATTATGATCTAGCAATACAAAATTTGTAATCAAGACCACTCATAATAAAAGTTGTAGCTTCTTATAAGACGATCACAGGAAAATCTATTAAAAATAGCTAGGTATGTGAAACATTGTTTGAAATTGTTTACCATAAGTTCTTATTTTTATAACTTACCAAATTAAGCAACACGCTCATACTATCTTCACTAGTTCTTTGTTTCCTTAAATTTCAAAAAAAAAAGTTATTAAATATTTCAACTTCATTGCCTAATCCACTTATTATATCTACAACCCTTATATCAAAGAAATGATAAGCAATACTTCAATTTTTCAGAAAAAACATAAATTAAAGAAAAAATAGAATATGTTAGGGTTGACAAGAAAAAGGACTTTTATGAAGAAATAGGAAAGTCCAGTGATATGAAGTTGTCGTTATACTGTTGCGATTTTGAATATTTTAAACAGGAATGATAAGGAACAAAATACTATGTTCAATTCATTATAAATAAATCAGTTAAACTGGAACGAGCTGTCCTATGATAAGAACATTTGATCATTTTTCCATACCGAGGTCTTACTGTATTTATAAAATTAGCTCGTTCTTTGATATATGCAAAGTTGCGATAATTATTTTTTGTTATAGCCGAAGTTACTTCATGTTTCGTTTTCTTTAATTATAGTCAATTTCAGATTTTTTTAAAATTTGAAGTGTGATGGCAGAAACGAGTACAGCATACATTTTAAAAACTATACTATCATTATTATTTTCTAAACAACATAGGTAAAGTATCAGCAGAAATATTTAAATAACATAATGTGCTTGTAGCTTAGACATCAATCACGATATGATTATTATAAAAAATTTAAACCAAATTTAAATTATTAGAGAATGCATATAAGTTCTTATAATACAACATAAAACAAATCGTTCAGAATGCAATTAATAAAACCTTTTGTCACAGATCCTGCGGATGAAATGAGCTGATCTGCTTTTGAAATTTGTAGCAATCTACGTTCTAAAGAAAGGGCAAAATTGAATCATAATTTGATTGTTACACTAAGATTATTTGTACACAATTTTACATGTATATTTCCAATAAGGTTGCAATGGATCAAATAAAAAGGAGTGGATCCGTCCACTCTGTCCACACTTTTCTTTTAATACAATTTATATTTCGAACGAGTTATCAAGGAATATTTTAATGAGCTAGTTATTCTAGTTATATTAGTTATTTTGAATTATTTTCCAACATTTTGGGTCATTCTTAGAGTAGGACCCATTAATGTCTGTTAAAGTGAAACCCTGAGAAAGATGAGGAAAAATTAACTCAATATAAAAATACAAATTTGTAAGTTGAAAAGGAAAAGGCATTTAAGCAAATAATACTAAAAACAAATAACTTCATGATTTGTGAAGTAGACATTACCTATATTAAAAAAACAAATGCTATTCTTATTCTTTCAAGGAGATCACTTGCGATTTAGGGATAAATTTCTTTCTTCCACTAGCAGAGATATTGTTCTTACTGTAAATATAAATGTTTTGCATCGCTTTGAAACAGAAAAGCTTTCCAATGTAAGATTAATGCTAAGTTTAACATATAACTGTTGCTATTAATAGCGATAATTTGCTAATTATTATGTATGCGATAATGAGATGAAAATATGCATGATGTGATTAAATTACTGTTTCGTAATCTTGTATGTGCGACGATTGCAATGATATAACAGAAATACTAGTCAATTCCAAGATAAATATACATTAAAGATATGTTTTGATCCAAATTTGTGATTTGCAATTTAAAAAAAAAAAAAAAAAAAAAAAACATTTGAAAAGCAAACTTCAAATAGTTGGAACAGTTAAAGGAAGAGAGAAAACTTGAATAATGGGGAATAACGTTTTCAATGAATAAAGATTTTCTGGTTCATTTTTCTGACTCAACGAGAACAACCGAAAAAAAAGGAGCAGTTGTCTGTTCTGCTATAATTAAGAAAATCAAATCTTAACTCAGCTAACTTTCCATGCCTCCAACTAGCAGGATAAATTATTTTCAACAATAATAAATTTCTATGAGAACGATTTGTCGCATAATGCTTTAAATTATTTGAAGTAGCAAATAATCAATTTTATTAAAAAAATATGATTAACAATATATCAGAAATCATATTTTATTTATAAATACTAAATTAGACATGATAAATTAAGAAAAGTTATGACGTGGAATAAATAGCTAAATGAATGTATATATGAAGTGAAATCGTTTTTAGTTTAAAATAACTGATAGTTCTTAAATGCGTGGCAAAAAATGATTAAAGGAATTTTGTAAAAAAAGAAATATTGAGCGCACACAAGACAAAATAAGAAGTTATTTTTCGTCTCTTGAATGTACATCTTAAAAATACAGAAGTCACAAGGAATTTCTTGCTAGACACCAATCTGAATCGTTTCACCTGCTCTTCCATTTCTTTTTTCTTACACAAAATTTTCCAAAAATTAGATTATTGGCAACATCTGCAATCTTAAAATTACGTTTATCGCAATTTAGCGTTTGCTGCTACTTTCTGGCGATATGATGTTGCTCCATTAAGATTGTCTATTTAATTGTGCAATCTATTTAACTGTAATATTTTGAGAATATAAAATAATTTATTTTCATATAAAAGTTGGGAAATCTGGAAAGTGCAGTCTATAGGAGCACTCAATACTTTTATAAAAGCAAATACTTTGTAAAGTTATTTGCTAAAAAGTTTTACTTATTGCTTTTACAATGCATATACTTTCCTTAATTGGTCTGATATAAATTTTTCTAAAAAATTTATATTCATGAAATTTGATAGGGACCTTTAGATTTCTATCGCTACAGCATTTTCAAAAATAAAGAAAATAAGTGTAAAAGCAATAAGTTGAAGTTTTTTGATAAATAACTTTTTTCCTAAAGCCTTTACCTTTTAGAAAAAAGTTGTACTATACTGATTTGACACCACTTTTGATTGTAACCTTCCTGAACAGCTGATTATTGCTTTTCACCAACTAACAAACTGGAAAGAAAATAATTCGTTGAACAAATAATTTGATTCTCCAAACTGCAGTTCCTCAGCCACCTGTGCAATTCAATATCTGCTTATCGCTTATACAAAAAAGGCATTTTGAATTAAAATTACAACAGCATTTTCCATCATTATATTCTATCACTCTAAGATATACTTGTATAATGAATGCCACTTTTTTTTTCTCACTGAGAAGGTTTTTTGCTTCGGTTCCCAGAAAATAATCAGGAAAAAAAACTGTTGGATGATCTTTTCTTCAGTGTACTTTCTGCTTTCTTAACTAGAATTAGTAAACAGTGAAAAACGTAACGATAAGGATTGGGTGAAATTTTTTTTTATATTCTTCAAGATATAATATTTGGTTTAATTTCTGATATGGATTACATTGCTTATTTGTGGAGATTCGCTGATTTTTTGTATGCAAGTCGTAGGTAATATGTTCCACAAATTTTATCAAAAAATGAGTTTCATATTAATATTTACGTAAACAGAATTTTCTCTTAATCCTTTTTTGAATCCTACTTAAAACTGACACAAATGTTAGAGTTTTGCATCATTCCTGAAAAAAAAAAAAACTGAGACGAAAAGTGAGGTTCAAGTTTCTTAATTATGCATTCCACTAATTATATTTATAAATCAAATTTAAATAACAGAGTGCATATAGTTCAAACTACCAATTTGTTTCAGTAGAAGCTACCCATCAATTAAATAACTTCAATAATACGCATTTGTACGGGTAAATTCTTATTGCGATTGCTATCTGGCTCCTATTACAATCCACAACATCCATAGGCGATGCTCTCTTCTTCCTAAATTAATCATGATAACAACAACCTCTCATTAGTAATCTGACTGTTACTTAAAATATCTCCCATTTTAAAGTAAAAATTAGATAAGTCTACCGGATATTTTCGACACCGTTTCTCTTTCAAAAATTATGGCTGGTATAAATTTTACTGCGGCTATAGAATAGATTAGAAATAAGTTTTGAAAAATGTATTCATTCAAACTTCAGTAAATCGGTTGACGAAGGTCAGTGGTTTAATTTATCGAATTATATTGGATTGACTAATATAGTGGAAGAAGCAGAAATTTTGGAGAATTTGAAAGCCATTTCGCTACTCCATCTATACAATGTTAAATAATAAAAAAAGAGTACCGATTTCATACATATCAATTGTTTCTCACATCTCTTCTAAAGAGATATCTTAACATTTTTAAGACTTGACTAAAATAACAAATTCCAAACTTATACAATGCAATTATAAATAGACGTTTCTATCTAATTTCTAACAACTTAATCAAGGAAGCTGTGTCTGCTGAATCAAAGAAACATAGGATAAAAGAGTCTTTTACTCCAGCAGAGTAATAGAACTTATTGGAACTAGCAAAATCTGTAAAAAATATGTTAAAGAGAGCAATAAAAATGCAAAAGAAATTGTTTTTTCTGCACTCTGAAATTTAAAACGTCACTTCAAAACGTCATGTGTTCTTGCAACAAAAACCAAAGT